TAATAATTGTAGTGACGTTCAACTTCAACAATAGATCAAATAAAGATCTCAAATCACTGCTTGAGAGGATTTTAAAATTCATAATAAAAGTATGAGCGATACTTTATTCACTTTAATTTTTGTAAATTTTTGATAAGTCAGCGCAAAAAAAAAGGTGGTTTGGGACAAAAAGTTTTTTGACTGAAATGATAAACTCACTGATCATTTTTTACTTTTAAAATTTTTTCTTTCATGTAATAAACTACCTTACTTATCTAATGACAAGCTCGATTGATCGATTAAAAATATTTTCCGTTAATTAAAATTTAATTCCCGACTCATTTTCGACATACTTTGGCCCATTAATTGAGACGCTTGAGAACGCCCTAAGAATGAAGATGAATAAAGAATTACTTTATTAGAGCTATCATGAAATTTAATATGATCGTCCCGAAATCATGCATAAAAATAAACAAACGATTATATGCGTGAAATAATAATATACGCCTGCTATGTTTACAATATATTTTTGTTATATACTATATCTGATATATATATATATTATACGTATTTAAGTTATTAAAATAACGATAGGTTTAATGATATCTGATATATTTTATTAATACAAACTTTGATTATCTATTTGGTTTAACAATTCAAATATACAAATTTGGTATACAAAACACTGTAAAAGTTTATCGTTATATGTTGTAAGTGGGAGTGGAGGTTCGGAATTCACTTAGATTAGAACGGAATAATTATACTAAAAATCCCAGATTCTACCACAAAATCCAGAAAACCATTTTCCTAATACCGACCAAATTGGCCAACATTATAACTAATGCCGGCTAACTTTGTCGGTATTAGGTCCTTTCGGGAATCTGTCTTCCGGAATTTTATGGTAAACCCTAAAAATCCCAACCCTAACCTTAAAAATTCCGCACTTACGACATATATATGAGTGCCGCCAAACGAAAACCTGTCATCGGACTTTTTCAATTATATTTTGTGTACAGTTAGCCGTCTATGGAAAATCTTTATCATCATAATAGATTTTCCATAGACGGCTAACTATACACAAAATATAATTGAAAGTCCGATGACAGGTTTTCCCTTGGCAGCACTCATATTAGCTATACTATATTTATAACTTATATTGTGAGTTCTCAAACTTTTTTTAAATTAAAATTTAGTCGGTTATTTTAACCTTTTTTTACTACAGCTTTTGTAAGATTTATACAAATTTTAATAATAACTATAAACAATCTTACAACTTTATCACATTTAAGCTTTGTCAACACAAATTATTTTATATCAATTATTAGAGTGTCCAGCTATTTCTAGCATCTAAAATAACACTAGCGATATCACGAAGACAAACCTAAATTCGCTTATTTTTATTCTATAAGCGTATAGAATTAAAGTAAACCAATTCCGGCGTAATATAACTAGTGCTATTTTGGATACTAGAAATAGCTGGACATTCTGCCTTCAATTAATCATAGTGCTTGTGCACGATATCTTGATCTCGATCACAACACTAACTAATCACATAGAGGGAAATACTTGAGAGCACCTTTATATAATGAATCAAAGTAATCCCATCTCAACATTTCTATTTTATTCTATTTTATTTCAGCGAATTCTGGGACCAAGTTTAATATCAAGATGTAACAGCTCTTACTTTATCTTTTTTTAATTTTAATGACTCAAAATCGTATTATGAAAAGTAATTATATACAGCTTCTTAGTTTATTGCTTTTTTAGATTTTTGCGATTTTTTTAATCTTAAGATTCAAAATATATCGGTATGAACCTTGATGTAACCTGTTTATATTTTTATCAAGTTTAATCATGAGTATTGTTGGCATCTCTGTTTCCAATAAACCTTCCAGATCCAGTGATTCACCGACAACTAGTTACGGCACCGCCATAAACCTGTGACTATAACGAGGTGATTGTAATTAATCTTGAAATAAAGATCTTAATTTCTTCAGTTCTTAATTATATCAGCTAAGAATTTCTCAAATTACATCAGTTACTGAAATTTCTCTAACTACATCTGTTACACACATATACGTTAATATGATCAAGTTTCTACTCCTATAATTATGTATAATTATGTGTTTTAATAGCATTGTTAGAAAATATGCAAAATGCGATTTGAATTCTTAATACTGTAAAAAAAAACTCCACGTCACGAACAAAGTACAATGTATTTTTATATATTTTGAAACTTAGCATACATAAACTACACAAACGTGAAATTTTTCTACTGGCGCTGGTCACATGTAAGTTAGATACATTTTGTATCACTATCCTAATATATACTTAAACAAATTTTTTGTACGTACGTAACGGTAACCAATTATTTATTTATTTATTTTAATGTATATAATAAAAAAAAATATACGTATAAAAGAACATTTAAATTGATTGCTACTTTAATAACTCAAATTAGATAGATATACGCCAACAACATTATTAACTTTCCTTTAGAAAAATATGTCAATCCCTCATAGAGATGAAGATAGTACTATATTATTCGATTCTTCAAAAGAACATGATATTAATTATGACCGCTCAGATTCTATTGAACTCGATAATTTAATTAATCAAGAAGGGGAGGACCGACAAACATTTATTCTGAATAGCGAACGTCAAAGTGAAGGTTTCGATTTCGATGATCATCTTATACCATTAGCCCTAACAGAAATAAGCAGGCATCCTAATAATTTAGAAAAAGAAGTTACATTTTTTAATGGTCTTAATCTGGTAATAGGTTCAATAATTGGTGCTGGTATTTTTGCTTCTCCGGGTCCAGTTGTATTGCACGCAGGATCAGTAGGAATGTCTTTAGTAGTATGGCTTATATGTGGTTTATTAGCATGTACGGGCGCTCTTACATATGCTGAATTGGGTTCCGAAATACCATTATCCGGTGGTGAACATGCTTATTTATCACATGCTTATGGAAGTCTTCCTGCCTTTTTGTTCAGCTGGACTGCTATAACATGCTTAAAGGTATGAAGTTTTCAAATTTTAAATTTATCGTTATATATTTTTGTAAATAATAAATATCTTTAAAAAAAAAAAATCTGTTTTAATAACAAAATAAAATTGTTGATTGTTAGCCAGGAGGTAATGCGATTATAGCAGTGATATTTGCTGAATATTTGAATCGTATAATATATCATTCAGCCTTTGAAAGTGAAGAAAATCATCCTTCTCCTTCAACACATAACGTTTTAACTAAAATTGTGGCAATCATTTGTGTTATTGTGATTTCATTAATAAATACATATAGTGTCCGTCTAGCAACAAGAACACAAGATCTTTTTACTGCCATAAAGTTGATTACTTTAGTCGTTATAGCCATTATTGGTTTTATTGTTTTAGGCCGAGGAGGTATGACAACCAATTTTGAAGGCGATTTATTTGCTGGAACTTCTCATCGGATGAGTGATTATGCTTTAGCTTTCTATTCAGGTTCGCTTACACATATATCAAAATTCATTTTTAAAAAAATATCAATATATGCTTAAAAAAAATTTTTTTTTTTTTTTTTTAAATTAGGGTTGTTTGCGTATGATGGATGGTAAGAATCTGGATACTTTTTTTTTTGAAAAAAATTATAATCCAAAAATTTGATTAATTTTGGTTATGAAATTAGTCAAATCGGTCCTTTATTCACGTTTCGGAGGACTTTCTATTAGAAATCAAAAAAATGATATCTCTAAAAAAATATATAATTTATTTATCTGCGTGTTTAACGTTGAAATGTCCAATGGGTTTATCGTTCAGGAATACAGTAAACGTTATCGCTGGAGAAATGAAAAATCCATCAAGAGATCTCCCGCGCATAATCATGCTCGGTTTACCAATTGTGATCATTTTTTATTTATTGGCGAATGTTGCGTATTACGCTGTTTTACCATCATCCATAGTCAAACAAACAAATACGATAGCTCTGGTATGTTTATTTATGATTCCTGTTTTTGAAATTTACTATATATACATATCTATACACATATATATATATATTAATAAATCATATTTAATGATTTAGGATTTTGGGCGAAAAATGTTTGGACCTATAGGTGGTATCCTCTTCGCACTTTGTGTGGCGGCTAGTTGCTTTGGGGCTGCAAATGGTGGCATTTTTACGGGTTCAAGGTTGATATATGTTGCCGGTCGTGAAGGATATTTACCCACCTTATTCGGTAAAGTGCATGATAAATGGAATACACCAATAGCTGCATTGGCTATGCAGGCTATGTTAACAATTATACTGATTATTCCGGGTAGTTTTATTGGTTTATTGAATTTTGTTTCCGTTGCGGGTTGGGTATTTTATTTCCTTACATCATTTGGACTTTTCATCTTACGATGGAGGGAACCTAACCTAGAAAGGTAAATATTAGTGCTTGATTTGTTATTAATTTTTTATATCAGATATTAACAATCTTAATATAATGGACAGACCATATCGAGTTTGGCTTATTACACCTACAATATTTTGTTGTGTTGCTATATTTTTGGTGGTTATGCCATTTACACGAGTACCTATAGAATCAATTTCCGCATTAGGATTTATTCTTGCAGGAGTGCCATTTTGGTATATAAGAGTCAAATGTAAAGAATCTTTTACTACCGAAGGTATTTGAAAATTTTTAATTATCAATTATGGGTAATTATTGGCACTAAAATCATAATCTTATTCTAATAAAAATTTTGTAATTAATATGATTATAGCATTCAAAAATTACTTAAACAATCTTAATAATACTGTGAGTGAATGGCGCTTTCGACATAAATATTCCAAGCAAGAAGTATTAGAGATGACATGATGATCGAAATTTAAATTTATAATGATTCGCAATGAAAAGAATATATTTAATAGAGCATTTTTTTTTTATTTTTATTACTTAATATACGTTTAGAGCACTGTATTTAATAACATGTGGTTTGGGATATTACTATATTTGTAATATAATAATAAAGTCAAAAAATTTATAATGATTTTGGTACGTTTCTTGAATGATTAATTGTTGATAAAGAGTGGATTCGTAAATATAAATATTCGAAAAAATAGATATTGGGAATCGATGATTTTCGAGCATTGTCATAAACTCTAGAATTTTGAGTATCGATTAATCGAAAATTCGAATGTTCATTAAGTTTAACACTTTTACTAAAACGCACCTATGGTGTTTTACCACCTATTTGCTTTATCTTAAAAACTGGCTACCGTAAACCTCGGGAAATAAGCACAGTACCCTCTACCCTATTTTTTCAATTTCAGATTAGCGGAAATAGCAATAAAATCTTTACTCAAATTATTCCGTTGATCTGAAATTGAAAAAAATAGGGTAGAGGGTACTGTGCTTATTTTCCGAGGTTTACGGTAATTAATTAATATGTGGTGCTCTAAGCAAAATTACTCTACATCCCAAAACCCTTCCTAAACCTTGATCCTAGCACTAAATACTAACCCGACATGTGCTAAAAAACTTAGAAAATATATAAAAACATTTTATAATAAATTGTTTAACATTAAATTTTTTATTAATGGCTTTGTTTTTTTTTATTATTTAAAAAATTTATCATTATCAAACAAATCGATGATAACCGAATTAAAAACTCAATGAATGAATGCTTATCGAAATTTTTGATCGATAATCACAAAGATCTAACCTAATTTGGTGATAACCGTAGCCATATTTAAAAACAATATTTTTTTATATACAAATAATTTTTTCGAATAATAAAAGTTGTTCACCATAATGATTTGTATCTAATTTGAAAATTTTAGAGATTTTGATAAAATTTTTTAGAATATATTTAGTATTTTAAGTTGATGTAAACAAAAAATAATAAAAAATAAATAAAAATTTTATATAGCAACGCATTCTTGAACTATTCAAGCTTTTTTTATAAAAATTTAATCCTATATGCTTTATAATTTGAAGAACAACTTTAATTAAGACTTTAACTAATATTAAAAATACGGATTTCAAGTTATTAGGTTATTTAGTTAAAATTTTTGATTTAAAAAAATTGCATTTTTTGCATCTTAAAGTTATATATAATAAAGAACGATTTTAACGCTCACCGGAGGTGAAATTCACCGGGGTGCTGTATCTCAAAAACGTACTAAGTAAATGGGATC